TATGTTGTTGTCCTTTATCCTGAATACAAGTAATGAAAGGGATTTGTTCAATAACACTATTCAAATCGAAATATTTACGAAACATATAACCAGTAAAGAAAGTTCTAAAGTTGGGCGGGGCCGACTTTATGATACCCTACACCACTTTGCTAATTTAGTAGAGCTCCACATAACAATTAAAAGTTTTTATGGGAGAATTCAATCATACACCCCATGTTTATAATTATAATTTAAAGTTCAAAGGACTAAATATGCCGAAATTCGGACTTGTATTGCCCATTTGGTGCACAATTAATTTAAAATCGGATAAAGATATATATGGGAGCTATATCCAAATCTGAACCGATCTCGATAAAATTTGGAAAAGATATTTCTTAGCTGTATTTTATATATTTCCCTGAATATCGTTGTTACGGAGTGCATATTACGGCTGTGGGTAACAAATACAAAAAAATCGAATGAACAATATATATGGGAGCTATAGCTATATCTGAACCGATTTTCACCAAATTTGACATAGCTTCTAGACTCAATTCGGTCATAGGTGCCAAATTCCATTCAATTTGGACAAATATTAGACGTTTGGTGCACAATAAAATATAAATCGGACGAAGTTATATATGGGAGCTATATCCAAATCTGAACCGATCTCGATAAAATTTGGCAAAGGTATTTCTGAGCTGTATTTGATACATTTTCCCAAATATTGTTGTTACAGAGTGCATATTACGGCGGCGGGGGACTAAAACAACAAATCGGATGAACCATATATATGGGAGCTATAGCTATATCTGAACCGATTTCGATTAAATTTGGCACACTTATTTTAAGGCCTAATTTGGTTGTATGTGCAAAATTCCATGCTATTCGGTCTGATATTACACTTTTGGTGCACAATAAAAGGCAAATCGGACGAAGATATATATGGGAGCTATATCTAAATTTTTACCGATTATCTCCAATTTCAATAGGGTTCGTCCTTGGGCCAAACAAATGCCGTTTGGAAAATTTCATCTCAATCGGGTAATAAATGCGACCTGCATTTTGTTCACAAAAATACATGGACAGATGGACTGTCATGCATAAATCAACTCAGAAAGTGATTCTATGGAGATCCTCAAAAGTAACTATGGGTCTATCTCGCTTCCTTCTCCATGTTACAAACAAATGCACAAAGACATAATGCCCTTACCACTATGTGGTGTAGGATATATGTTCCTGAATCAACTAGTTTGTTGCTTTCCACGGGTGAGATGAAAAAACTTCAACCAATTTTAGACTGCTGTCATTTCTAAGCCACTAGTCCGACAACTGTTAAATTTATTCCAGTTACAGCCTATTAAATTGTTAACAAGCCTACAAACGCATTTCGGTGAGAATTTTCCAGAAAAAAAGTTATTCGTGATAGATTTCAAGCGTGATAGTGGTTCGAAAAGTGAATAAGCGACTTGATAGAAACCCGCGTCGCAGTGGCCAAAAAATGTCCAACAAATTCCAATTTTTAGACAAATCCGTGAAAAAGTGTGGCAAAAATCATCAAAATACCGAATATCGGGAGGTACCGTTATATGAGAGCTATAACAAAACGTATACCGATATATCTCATTTTCAATACCAACCAACCTAGACACAATACAAATTATTCCGCTAAATTTTGATGCTCGTCAACTAAACATGTCGCAATTTTCATTTGGCAAATATTGAAAAATGAGCTAGGGATAAAACCATTGAAATTCCAAAAAGTGCAAGAACTTACACCACAACAGAAAGAAATAGACTGAAAAGAGCTAAAGAGTTGCTTCGCTTGGCCGAAAATGGTAAACTTCCGAATTTGGTTTTCTCCGATGAGAAAACATTCGTTGTCCTGCAGTTTGTAAACAAACAAAATGATCGTGTTTACTTGCCAAAGAAATCAGCTGAAAATGTGCACATTCGGTTGGCCACCAGAACTCAAGAGCTCTCCGCTCGAATTAATCAACAGTGGCATCAGAATAAATGCCGTATATTATCGCGAAAATATTCTGGAGGGTGTATTAAAGCCTTGGGCACACTAACATTTTGGCCGCAGACCTTGGACATTCCAACAGCCATCCGCCATCCAAGAATGGTTACAAAATGAGTTTCCTCGCTTCATTTCCAGCGCATAATGGCCACCAAAATCTCCGAATACCAATCCGTTCGACCATTGTGTCTGGAGTATTTTGGAAAGCAAGGTTGGCACTAAAAAATACCAAAGTGTCGATATCCTTAAGCAAGCGCTTCGCCGGGAATGGGCCAAAATGCCGCAGAGCAACATTCGGGCAGAGTGTGACGGTTTCATTGGCCGTTTGAAGACCAATATTCGTTTCAAAAGTGACTAATTCGAACAATTGTAAACTTATTTTAAAATTTAATGCTATTTCCGACATTTTTTGCTTTCATTTAATAGAATTTAAAAAAAATTGTAAAATTTGACTTTGTTGCAGTTCTTTTATCGCAGGCTGTAATTCCGCGTCGATTGGTCTATAATTGCGACCTGTAGAGCAACAGCAAATCAGAATTTTTTTCTGTCTTTGGCCCATTTCAACACCTAAATATTTTACGATCACCTCCAAAAACAATTAAATAAGCTTCTATTTTGACTCTAATCCAACCTCCATATTCAATATGGACAGGCGGACGGACATACATAGCTATATCGGCTGAGCTCAGCGATAGAGGAAGATTCATATATAGTTTCCTATGTCGGGGATCAATATCTCGAGGTGTTGCATAATTTTTGGTCCAATCAAACTTAAAAAATGGAAAAACGGTATCCCAATATTTTTTTTTTTCAAATAAATCCCAAGTCTTTAAAAAACGGATACAAATTTCAAATTTTGAAATAAGTATACAGGGTGGCCCATATTCGACGGACCCATCTGGCAACGCCATAACTTTTGACAGAGATGTCACATCGCTTAATGAGATACCGCGTTTGAAGCGTCAGTCCAAGCAGATTTTTACCATGAACCAATACACGCCACGCGAGCTCTCTGAAATAGTTGAAATTTACATTCAACAGAAGAAGTCAATTGTGAAAACTCAACGAGCTTTTAAAACATTAAAAAATGTGAGAAGTGCGCCTTCTAAGAAACACCATTAAGCGTTTATACGAAAAATTTTCGACTGGTGAGGCTCTTTCTAATCCGAAGAGGCCATATAAAAGTCGACCAAGGCGATCGGCCGAGAATATCGCTGCCGTACGAGCCAGTGTTGAGAGGTCCCCAAGAACATCCCAAAAACGCCGTTCTCAGCAGTTGGGCATGGCTCGGTCCACTTTACAACGGATTATTCGCATTGATTTGCATTTGTTCCCTGCGGACATGCCTAGTCGATTGGAATGGGCCCAAAGAGTCATCGAAATGGCCGAAAAAAAAACATGGCTCCGTCGAATATGGGCAACCCTGTATGTTTTATAAAATGTGAAATAAGCGTGTGATTCTCTGCAAATTTCGCAAACCTTAACACAAGATATGGTGAGAAGGACGGATTGAACGGATCACTCCAACAGGTACCTCCCCCACATCTTATGGTCAAACGCGAGGATCCACGAACAATGACAGTAAAAACCCGTAGTCACAGACTTCTATATGGGTACACACCGCAAGTTATTTGATGCGCTTATTATACCCTCAGCCATATGGCTAGAGAGGGTATATATCATTTGATACGACCAAATCGTGCCTCATCGATATAACAGTTTTAGACCCTAGGTCTCTTTGGACCAAATCGTTTCAAGAAATATGGAGTCGATATAGCGATGTCCGTCCGTCCGTCTGTGTGTGTGTCTGTCTGGCTGGTGCGCACCATAACTATAGAAGGGAGTATCCGATTTGATCCAAACTTGGTACATCGTAATATTATTGTCAAACAATATCGGTCCACTCCTTCTGGTATCTCCCCGACAAAATGCCAAAATTTTCAAAGCAAATAATTTGCTGGACAGAAAGAGAAAGTATAATACGATTTTGCTTCAACTTTGCATATCTTAATATTTGCATCAGTGCTGGGGCAGGTGCGAAAATGAACAATATCGGCCCACTCCGTCCAGTACCCCTCCCACAAACGGTCAACATTTGAAATAATTAGTATTCTTATAAAACGTGATGTAAGAGTTTGATTGTCTTCAAATTACACACATCAGAATATATTTATTAATCCAAGGTCTGGTATGAAGATGGTATATATCGGTCCACTCCTTCTGGTACCTCCCCCATAAAGGGTCAAAATTTTGAATATTCATGAAGCTTATAAAACACAAAATTAACATCCGATTCAATTCAGACTTGGCACATCTCAATATTTTTTTTAGCAACACAAGACTTGTTATAGAGATGGTAGAGATCGAACCGCTACTTCTGGTACCTCTCCACAAATAACCGAAACGGTCATAAAATCCGAAATAAGCATCTGATTCTCTTCAAATTACACACATCACATTATTTTTTTAACCCAAGGTATGGTGTGAAAATTGGATATATCGGTTCACTCCTTCTGGTAGCTCATATATTTACCACAAAGCGGATGAATTGTCATTTTCGTCAGTTCACTCTTGCAGGCAGAACTTCTTTGAAATATTTCCATACAACAGAGAAGAGGAATAGAGGATTTTGGACTTAATTAAAGATGTGCTTAAGTTTTTGTATTTTCTAATTATTTTTCAAATTAAAGGTCATGCAACCACTAAAAACACGGTTCAAATATTTATTAATTTTATACCACGAGGGGATCGTGTTATCATCATTATGTATGTGCGCACTTATTAACGCCACAACATATATATGTATGTGTATTTAAGTGCGTGCAACAGTCTAATCTATTTTGTGAATTAATCAATATGTTGTAGGGTCATCCAAAATTAAGCGGAAAGTTTATAGTTTCCCAACGCATATGTCATGATAAGAATTCGACTATAAAATGGGAGGGTATTCTGAGTGGGAAACTTAGTTGAATTTCAAAATTTGCTACACACAACGACAACAAGTGAAAATCGAAAAAAAAATGAATAAAATCAGTTTCATTCTATTCATTTGCTGTTTGCCGATGGTAAGCGAAAGTCTAACTAAAATCATCAAACTATTGAATTAATTCAAACATTTTCTAGATCTTTGCTGATCTCCCCGACTGGTATCCCGTCAATGAAGCTGAAATTGAGGCAAAATGTATTGAGGAAAATGCCATCAGTCCTGAGACTATGAAAAAAATCATAACCTACCATTTCGAAGATACCGCTGAAATACGTTCGTTTTTGCTATGCCAAGCCATCAAGAAGAATGTCTATAGTCCTGAGATGGGCTATAAAGCTGATCGCTTACAGTTGATTTTGAAAGAAAGAGCCAAACAGGATTGTAAATTGGAATTTATTGAAGGATGTGCCAATAAATCGAGTGATGTAAAACCAGCTGATGTGATGGTCTACAACATAATGCAATGCATTATCCGTGACATGAAAGATAATTGTAGGAAAGTTTAAACATTTTTCAAAACCAAACAAATATAGTGAGAAAAAAAGTATTGACATTTTGGGTTTTTCTCACAGTAGTTATTATACCCTCAGACATATGGCTACAGAGGTGGCTCGAAATATGGATTTAAGAACTTAGGTCTCATTGGACCAACTCCGTTTTAGGACATTTGGTGTCGATCTAGCGATGTCCGTCCGTCTCTCTGTTTGGCAAGCTGGCTCGTACGTACGAAATCGGAAAATATATAAAAGGAATGATTTTTACCCTTGATATAAAAAAATTAACTTCCAACTAAGCTTTTCAAACAAGAAATCAAATCAAAATTTAATTTCGAAAACCAAATTTCATTTAAATCTCCTTTTTATTAAATTTCAATAGGCAGCACCCTGTGGTGTTAAGAGTACAGAGGGCCAGTATTCAGGCAATTTTACATTTTGTATATTTCATTGTGTAACAAAAAAGTGGTGGTGGTGGCAGTTTTCAAGAAAGGGGTCTGAACTTACATGCTGATATATATGGTAGCGACAATAACTTAAATTGTTGGACAATCAAAAAACTCACTCCCCTCATTTGGGTTAGGACAAGTCAGCCAAAAAATAAAAAAAACAAATCACAAACAATAGCGTAACGATTGGAACATTTGTTGTAATTTTTTTTGCCAAGTGGTAACCTGAGGAACGAACACACGCCAAACGCTAACAAACTACGTGACAGTTACGTACGTAAACGCTCAAACAGAAATCACAAAAACAACAACACCAACTCAAATTTACTGCCAACTGTCAGCCATAATGAAAATGAAGAAATGGTAAATGTTTCGAGAAGTGGAAAAAAGAGAGAACTAAAGAAAGAGGGAGGGAGTAAACGAAACGAACAAAAAACTAAAACTTTAAACAATGCATTGGTAAGCGTACACACACGACCTCTTACATAAAATTTGTTAAACTTTGTGTTCAACCCTCTGCACCCTAGCACCACTACCTTAGCCCACCAATTGCCCAATAACTCCATCCACCCATCCATCTTCATTTAGCCACACTCCCATTTTCTGTTTCTCTTTGTGTGTGGCTCGGTTGTTGTTATTGTTTTCGTTGTTGTTGCAGAAATAACTTTTATTTCCCATTGGTTGTTTCTTTGTTAAACAATAGAGAGCTTCTCATTCGAAAGCCACTTGAAATCGAATAGCAATATACAAAATGTGTTCATTTGTAGTGGTGGTGGTAGTGGAAGGTAGGTTGGTAACTTCTACCATCCGTGTGCCTTCATTCAGCCACCCAAACTCATCGAATCGAATAATTTTAACCACACGCACGCATACACACTCAATCGGGCGGGGAGGAGTGCACTGGAACTTGATTTTCAGTGATGTCAACTTGTCACTCGATTTGTCGACAGATTTATACCCTCAGCATTTCACAGATGTATCATAAAATTTGGACCTACATATTCCACCTGTAAGCTTTTATATGTCCAGGCTTTGAAATTTGAAGAGAACAGGGATAGAACAGTGTTGGCTTGTTTGTTCGGGATACCACAGTATTTTGTTGTTGCAAAATGGTCAGGCTTAATCACTTCATTGTTGTTTTTATAAAAACAAAGTTTGTTTATTAGTGGAGAACGATAGTAATGTTTACCTTACCCCCTGGCAGACAGGGAATACCTAGGTTTCGGAAAGAGCCTCCAATCCTCATCAATTCCCTTGTTTTTGTCTGGGATATTCTCCCCAGAAGTTATTTTAAAAATGTTTTGTCATAGAAGTTATTTTTAAAATAAAACAAGTTAAAAAGTTTCGGTCGGTTTTGTCGACAGATGTATACCCTCAGCCAATGTTCGATTATTTTAAAATCTTTTGACTTCTGGTTTGATTGATCAAATGTTTAAACCTTTATGCAGTTGGTTCCGAAGGAATTGGCCAATATTAGCCACTTCTTGTCGGACCTAAATAAATATGATATAAATATTGCGACGTGCTAAGTTTGGACTGTGTTGTGTTAATTTAAATTTTTGGATGTACCAAGTCATGAATAGAATCGGATGTCAATTTCGCTTTTTATGAGCTTCATAGATTTTCAAAATTTTGAGCCTTTGTGGGGGAAGTACCAGAATGATTGGACCGATATATTAAATCTTCACAACGGATCTTTTGTTAGTGGAAATAATGGGATGTATTAAATATAAAGAGAACCTGATTTCGGGTTTAATAAATGTTTTGGTTATTCCAAACTTTGACCTCTTGTGGGGAGATACCAGAAGGAGTGGACCGATATCTTCCATCTTAACACCAGATCTTGGATTTAGGAAAATATTGGAATGTGTGAAACTTTAAGACGGTCGGATTCTAACACCACATTATAATTATTCAAAATGTTAATCCTTTGTGGGGGAGGTACTTCATAGAGTGGGCAAATAATATCCATTTTTATACCAGACCTAGAACTGGCGAAAATATTAGGATTTGCAAAGTTGGAGAAAACCCGGATTATTGGTACTCTTTCTGTGTAGAAAATAATTTTTGTTTGTTTTTTTTTTTTTTTTCTTTGAAAAATTTGACCTTGTATGGGGGAGGTACCAGAAGGAGTGGACCGATATTGTCCATCTTAACACCAGACCTTGGGTTAACACAAATATTGGGATGTGTGAAATTTGAAGATAATCGGGCTCTTACATAAAATTTTATGAGAGTTGTAATTATTCAAAATTTTGACCATTTGTGGGGGAGGTACTTGATGGAGTGGACCGATGTTGTCCATTTTCACACCTAACATAGCACGGGCGCAAATGTTAGGATATGCAAAATTGGAACAAAATCAGATAATCCTTTCTCTTTCTGTGCAAAAAATATTTTTTTGAAAATTTCGACCTTTTGTGGGGGAGGTACCAGAGGGAGTGGTCCGATATATTCTATCTTAACACCAGACCTTGGGTTAATATAAATATTGAGATGTGTGAAATTTGAAGACAATCGGACTCTTACATCACATTTTATGAGAGTTGCAATTATTCAAAATTTTGACCATTTGTGGGGGAGGTACTTGATGGAGTGAACCGATATTGTCCATTTTCACACCTAACCTAGCACGGACGCAAATATTGGTATATGCAAAGTTGGAGCTAAATCGGATTATCCTTTCTCTTTCTGTGCAACAAATTATTTTCTTTGAAAATTTTGACATTTTGTGTGGGAGGTACCAGAAGGAGTGGACCGATATTGCCCATCTCCGAACTCGATCTAAGTTTGACAAAAATATTACGATGTACCAAGTTTGGATCAAATCGGATACTCCCTTCGAGAGTTATCGTGCGCACCAGCCAGCCAGACAGACGGACGGACGGACGGACATCGGTAGATCGACTCCAAATGTTCTGAAACGGATTTGGTCCAAAGAGACCTAGGGTCTAAAACCGTTATTTCGACTAGGCACGTTTTAACCGTATCAACTGATATATACCCTCTGTAGCCATATGGCTGAGGGTATAAAAAGGGAACTGATGAGGATTGGTGGCTCTTTCCGAAACCTAGGTATTCCCTGCCTTTCCCCCTGGTAAACATTACTATCGTTCTCCACTAATAAACAAACGTTGTTAAAAAAAACAACAATAAAGGGATTAAGCCTGACCATTTTGCAACAACAGATAACAGGGCTTTTATTTCCGCATTAAAATTCCGACCCTTTTGAGGGCAAAGTGTCGATAAGTTATATATTTACGCAAGATTTCATGTAGGAAATATCGATCAAGTATTTTGCAATTTTTTGAAAGAGATAATTGTTCAAATTTTGACGCTATGTGGGGGGAGGTACCAGAAGAGGACAGATATTTGCCATATTCACACTACATTTGTGTTTGGTAAAAATATTGAGATATTCGAAGTTCACGGAAAAGCGGTGACTTGGTTCGCACTTTATGACAGTTGAGCCTTTGTGTGGAATCTTGTATTGGCACAAATCTTAAGATGTCCAAGGTTTGAAAAGAAAAGGACGCTTATTTCGCATTTATAAGCGTCATGGTTATTGAAAAATTTGAACAGTTGTGTGGGAAGTATCCGAAGGAGTAATCCGATGCATACCTAGAGTTCATATCAGACAGTGAGTTGGTAAAAAACGGGGGGAATCCTATTTAAAATGTTATAAAAGTTAAAAATATTTAAAATGTTAACCCTTTGTGGAGAGTGTACTAGAAGGATCGATAGTGGTCATCTTCCCATCTGACCTAGCACCGATGCAAAAGCTTACGTTATTTTATTATGACTATGGAGGGTACATTAAGTCTGCAACTCTCATTGTAATTTCTGTAACTAACGACCCCAATTCATGTTTTCTTAAAATTACTACAGCTTCCGAACGAAAGGAGGTAGGGTGATAGAATTTTACACAGACGAAATTGAGGTCTATAGAATTTGTGGTATTGAAAACGAGCCATACACAGGGTGAGATGAAAAAAACGGCAACCAAATTCAGACTGCTGTCATTTCTAAGCCACTCGTCCGACAGCTGTTAAAATTATTCCAGTGACAGCTCATTATATTGTTTACAAGCGTACAAAAGCATTTTGGTGAGAATTTTCCATAAAAAAAAGTTATTCGTTATAGAATTCCAGCGTGATAGTGTGATTTCTTTATATTTGGCTGGAATGGCTGGCTATCGTTAGAGCACTCTAGCATTTAAATGTGAATAAATCTTTTGTGTCTCGCATCATCGCTCGTTACCGTGATACTGATAGTGTCGCCCGACGTCAGGGAAGTGG